TTACCCTGTATAAGCTTTATACAGAGTAAAACGGATTTATTTGGGGTTTAGATCCCATTGGGAGCTGGGTGTCTGGATGCTGGAGACAGGAGTACTTTCTAAGCTGTTTTCAGTTAAGTATGCAGCTTTGGGAGCGTGGTTCAGACCCTGGGTCTGTGTTGCAGCAGATTAGCCTTACCTGGCTCAACAAGACAGGGTTCTGAAGTCCCAAGCTGGCAGGGAAAACTGGCTTAGAGGTAGTCTCACCACGCCAGGTGACAGTCCCAAGGGGAGTCTCTGTGACTGAACCTGTCACATGCTCAATTTACCTTTTTGAACTGTACATTAAAAATTCTTATAGGCAGTAAGAGTAATTGTAGCTGTGTCAGTCTCAGGATTAGAGAAACAAGGTGGGTGAGGTAACAGATCAGAAGAAGAGCTCTGTGTGGCTCAAAAGTTTGTCTCTCTCACCAACAGAAGGTGGTCCAATAAAAGACATTACATACCTTGTCTTTCTTACAGCAATAACTAATTTCAGGATTCCAGTTTCTAACTTTTAAGTTAACAAAGATTTATCTCTTAAAAATTCTCAACAGTTTTAGGTGCCAGAAGCTAGCAAGTCTGCATCTCTCTCAAACAAATCCCCAACTGATTCCACTTCTTCCAATTATGAAAAAAGGATGTATATGCTAATTACGCTAATCCTGTAACTGTAGAGCTGGATCACTTGTTTTCTGAATGCTACATTTACTCAGCTGAAACAATTTAATTTGCTAACAGAAAGTGGTCTAACTTCAAGACAGGCTTTTCACTAAACTCTGTAAGTGTAGGCGATGCCACCTATACTGACAGGAGAGTTTATCCTGTATAGGTAAGTATTCCACTTCCCCAAGAGGTGGTACCTATGTTGACAGGAGAAGCCTCCCATTGACATAGTGCTATCTAAACGAGGAGTTAGGTTGATATAACTGCACTGCTCAACGACGTTATACTGACATAAGTGTTTAAGGATCAGGGCCTATATAAACTTATGTATATATGTTTGTAGGAATGGGTCTTGATGTTATTAATTAATAAGTGTATTAATGATTACAAAGGATCATAATAAGGACATTTCAATAATCATTTTGCCCTAGAACAATTTACAAAGTGACAGTACTGTACTTTTTAAAAAGTGGAACCCAACCAAAACCAGTTGTCACTGGATACTGAACATGTATCCAGTTTAAGTGGTTTTCTAAACAAACTTTGTGTCAAGCAAGGTGGAGCCATTTAACTCAAGGTGATTTGTCAAATGACTTTAAAAAAAAAAGATATTCATTTAAATCAAGTTAAGGCTTTCAAATCAGTTTTACAAAATTTGTGGTACTACTACAGTTTTAGATTACAATTTATAATTAACGATAAACGTTGCTCCTTTTTGTGAGGGTATTGATAGATATATTTGAATTTTACAGAACTATTGTGAGCAAAAAACCCCAATACACTGAGAATTAACGACCTAATCTTGCTAATACTTAAGCAGGTACATTCATTTCAATGCATCAAGGCTAGTGTATTTTACTGAAAGCTTCTTTTAGTGGCATAAAACCGTTATCACTTACAAAACTATGAACTTTTAATATGCACACGTCAACATTTTAAGAAGTATTTAAGCACTCTGAGGGTGGGATTTTCAAAATCACCTAAGTGGCTGAAGAGCATAAATCCTAATAACTTTGGACTGTAAACACTGATGGAGGACCACTTTCTTGTGTAAATTCGTTATACTGGAAGGTGGTATTGGTTTCAAATGGAGCATTGGCAATTTGTTTCTCAATTTTGTATGAGTTTGTGTTTTTACCTTTGTCAATTCACTTTTTACATAGTTCACTTTGTATGAGTTTGTGCTGCTTTAACAATTATAATAAGGTTAAACTACAAAAATAACTACAGCACATCCACTGTAAAATGAAAAGTAAACCAACATGAAAATAAATAAAAAAAATCACCAATAAAAATAATTTGATTTTTTTAAATATTTGCATCTTCTATACCTCCAACATATAATGCAAAACTGAGAATGATACCTGATCCATGTCACATGCATCACTGGGGGGAAGAGGGGGAGGAATGGATACCAACACCAATCCCAATATGTTACTTATCCTGCTGAGGATTATGTTTACACACAAAAACATAGGTCACAAGTTTTATACATTTCCCAAACCTATAAAAAAATATATATAAATAGGACCCCATTCCTCTTTCATTGGCTAATCTGAATATAAGAAGAACAGGAGTACTTGTGGCACCTTAGAGACTAACAAATTTATT